CAAAGTATAATAGGAAAATATGTTATGATAATAAAAAAAACATTTAATATTTTTATAATGATATAATTCATATACAAAATGTATACGTAAACAATGAAAATATTGTTGATTTAATTATTTATAAAATAAACAAATATACTGATATTGCTATATATACAGATAGTTAATCTTTATTTTATTATGTTATTGACTTAACGTTAAAAGAGAATTAGGATGAATATGAGAATGTTATTTCTACTGTATATAAATATAATATTCCTATTTTAATTATAGGAACTAAAATCGATTTAGATCATTAAAATATAAATAGTAGTATTAATGTTTTGGAATAAATTATGCAATAATACAGTTAAAATATTAAATTTATTTAGACTAGTTCTTATTTAAGTAAAAATATTTCTGAAGTATTTTAAAAATCTTTTGAATTAAATTAAATGAATATTAATAAATTTATTTTATAATAAAATTAGCTTATTTATATTAAGTCTAAATAAAAGAAATGTAAAAAAACATTTATTATAAAAGTTGTTTTTGAGTTTTTCATTAAGTATATATTTAAGTAATTTAAACTTTTTTTAATTGTAAAAAAGTTAAAGATTTATAAAAAAAAAATATTTTAATTTAAATTATTAATATCTATATTTTTTTATTAAAAAATAAAATAAATAAATATATTTTCTAATTATAAATAAAGATTTAAAAATAAATACTTTTTATAAAATAAAATAATAATAATTTTTTATTATAATGTAAAATAATAATATAAAAAATTAGTACTTTTTCAGAGTTATAAGTTATAAAACAACTATTTAAGTCATATACATCTACAGATGAAAAAAAATTTCGAAATAAAAAAGTTACAAACGAAAATATTAAAAAAGTAGTAGAAGCAGCCATTTCAGCTTTTCAAAAATTGAAAAGTCCAGAAGAAACTTAACAAGCTAAATTTTTACATAAGTTTATTTAATTGAAATTACTCAAACAAATTAGCTGTATTTTTGTTTCTAATAAAAAAATAATTAATTGCTTAGAAATTATTCACAGGATATACAGTACCATATATCCGTCATTCTAAAGAAACATACATATCTCTTAAAAAGAATATGTACATTTAAGTGTGACCAACCTAAAAAAGATTATGTAACTGAAAACCGAACACCAGCAGGTAAGTTTTCGCCTTATTTATGCACAAGATAAAAATAGATTAATATAAAATAAATATGTCTTATATATGTATGTCATATATATATTATTTTTTTTCGTTTAAATATATTTAAATATAAATACATATATAAAAAATATATGCATACACACATAGATACATATATACTACAATGCATACATATAAAAATACATAAATACATGAATGAATAAATACAAAAATAAATAAATACATAAATGCATACTTTTATACATTTATACATTTATACATTTATACATTTATACATATATACATTTATACATTTATACATTTATACATATATACATTTATATATTTATACATTAATACATTTATTCATTTATACATATATACATTTATACATTTATACGTTTATACATTTATACATTTATACATTTATACATTTATACATTTATACATTTATACATTTATACATTTATACATTTATAAATTTATACATTTTACATTTATACATTTATACATTAATATATAAATGCATACATAACATACATAAATATTTTACACATACATACATTCATAAATAAATTCTATATATAAATTATATTAGATATAAGTTTATGATGTTTTATTTTCTATTCAATTTTATTTGCATATGCATTAGCAGATTATTAGGTAATATATATTTTTTTAAATAGTCTAATTATTTATTTATACAATTTAATAGAATTTTATTAGAAATATTAAAGTATTTTTATTAAAAAAATGTATTTAATTGGTTAATCAAATATGAAAAAAAGTAAATTCTCAAAAATTATATATTATTTTTAATAAAAAAACAAATATATTTATTATTTATTTTAAAAATAGATTAATATTAATAAAAAAATTACTAAAATTTTATATATATTTAAATAAAATATATATATATTCATATATTTATTAATTAACAATTTTTTATTAAAATATATTTATACTTGAAATCAATTTTTTTTTTATTTTATTAAATAAATAATTAAAAATTTTATAATTTGATTGAATTATTATTAATAATATACTTTCTAATATAAATCTTTATTTTAAATAATATATGTTACTAACAATTGTAATTTGTTTAAATAAATAGAATTATTTTTATTTGTTTCATAATTATTCTATCTTTTATTTTGTCTAAATGTAATAATTATACATTTCTAATGCCTATTTTAGCAATTATAAATAATTAACATATAATTAATAAATACTCTATTATGATTCTAAATAAGAGAAAATATTTAAATTTTTAATTATTATATTATTTATATTAAATACATGCTTTAAAAAAATTTGGTTATATTTTTAAATTTGCATTATTTTAATATACCTCGTTTAGCTATTATTAAATAATTAATTTAAATATTTATACATTAAATGATACTTTCTTAATTTTAAATAAGATATATACTAAATATTGTAATATTATTAATTGATTATACCCACTTTTTATAAATAATTTAAAATAATTAATATATTATATTTATATTATAATTTATTTTCGTATTATTTTTTTAAATATTTTCATTTTTTACTACATATTTATCTTAAATTTTATAATATTATATAAATTTAAATATTACTTTCTTTTCAAAATCAAATATATTAAATTTTTGTTTTAGAATGTTATATATTACTCCCTTTATTTGATAATAATTTTAATTTTAACTAAGCATTATAAAATCAATTCGTTTACAATCTAAATAAAATTAATAATATTGAAATTAAAAATATAATTACATTCTTTATTTATATTATTTTATTAATCCAATTTTAATATTAAGAAATTCATACCACCTATTTATTTTAAATTAATGAGTTTAAATTAATCTAAATAAAATTAAATTACCCACTTTAAAGATTTAATTTAATATCTTTTGTTCATAAAAATAAATATATTCATACCCACTTTTTTATGATTATAAATTAAATAAAAATAATATTTGAATATCTATTCTTTTTGTTTTTTACATTCTATTTTATTTAGTAAACATTTGATAAAATAAAAAGAAAAAATTACTATCTTATTGATTTTTTTAGTATTTTTTTTTTTTTTATAAAATGTCAATAATTTTATAACTTACCACCTTTTATAAATATTAAAACCACATAAATTAAAATTTTATATACAATCTATAGCATAAAATTTCAAAACATAAAAGAAAGAGTTTTTTACATACTAATTAGGTTTTTAAAAAATATATTTTAAAATAAATTTAATGAATATTTTGTTACTATCTATATTAAAGTGTATATTCGTTTAAATTGTTATATATTACGCACTTATTAAAATACAATGATTAGAATTTTGGTTAAATATATTTTAATTATAAAATTTTTATTATATTATTTATTTTTTACTTCCTTTTCAATTTGTTAAAATTTAAAAATATAATATCATTTAATGTTTAGATAATTTTACATACTATAAATATTTAAAATATAAAAATTATATCAATATATTTATTTACAATCTATTTTTAATAAAATCATATAATTTAATGATATTTAATTTACATCCTTATTTTATTAATTATTTTAAATATATCAATTTATTTTTTAATTAAATTAATATTAATAATCTTTTTCTTTAAATTTTTACTTTTCTATCTATGTTATAATTAAATATAAAAATTGAATTTATTGAATTAATTTTGGATTACTTTCTATTAAAATAATTATAATTTTTTATATTATTAAAATATTATTTCAAAAACAATATCTTCCTATTTTTTCATAAAATTATATTAATATTTGTATTTTATTTCTTTCATTTTACGAATTTCTAAAACTAAACTGTATTTTTAATTTTTTATCTGAATTTTTTTTACTTAATGACTAACTTAAAGTTATCTCAAATAAGTATTGACTTATTATAAACATTATTGTTTTAATTATTCTTTATATTATTTTTCTAAACTAAGTCTTTTGTTTTGTTCTGCTAATTACTTTTTTAATTATTCGTCTCTTTTTTGTATTCTGCCTTCTTTTTTTAATTTAAAAAAATATTAACTTCTTACCACCAATCCTTATCATCCTTTTTAAAAAAAAAGTTAAATAAATATTTTTTTTATAAATTTTTACAATTATTTTGTTAATTGTAAATATTTTATCCTAATCACGAGAAATAACTTTTTCTTCAATTATTATTTCTTGACTCTATTTCCATCTTTTATTGACAACATCAATATTTTAATTTATTTATTTTAAGCTATCAAGTATATTATAATAGTCTTTATTAATTTTTAATTATTATAAAGCGTTTTTCGTTTCATAAAACTATTCATTTGTTAAGCTTTCTTTAAGTTCATTAAGATTATTTTTAACCTAAAAATAAAAAGATGAAATATAAATAAATGTCAACTTTAAAAAACTTTATAAATTTACATGATAAACCCATTATATGATTTATTCAATTTATTGCAATTAATTATTAATTATTAAAAGATTTTAGTTACCGTTTTCATTTAGTTAGTTTTAATTTAATTATTAATTTTTATTCTCTATCAAATTTTCTACCATCTTAACTAAATCTATAAATTGTATTAATTAATTGTCTTTAACATTTGAATGATTAATTCCATGGCATTATATACATATTAATGAACAAAACTCCTCACCGCATTAAGGATTAATACATCTTTAAAATATATATTTAATATAATATATTTTATTATATATTTTTACATATATATTTAAGGACAATTACTATTACATTTTTAACATTTTTGAAGGTACTAGATATTTAAATAATCCATATATATTAGGATAAATTTAATATAATTAAAAGATAAATATTAATAATTTGTTAATAAATAAATAAAAGAAAAATATAATTTTTTACTTAACAAATATTTATATATTTTATGTATAATTAATAATTATAATAATATATATATAATTCCTCTATATATTTTTTTTCTTTACCTGAAGTAAAAATTAATTTTTAAATACATTATTGATTTTTAATTTATTTTAGTTTAAATTTAAATCGATTTTTAAACATAAAAAATTAAACTACATGTTAACATAAGTCAATCGCATAAGAATAACATTATTATTATGCAATTATGAAGATATTTATAAATTATCGAATTTTTTTATTTTATTTTTACAATGTTAAGAAAGGTATTTATATAAAAAAATTTATAAAGATATTTGTGTATTTATATTTTTTTAATTTAGAAATTTATATAGAGTTAATTAAAAATATTATATAAAATAATTATTAAAAAATTTATTTATAATTTGATATTAATATAAATACTGACTTTTTTATTAAATTATATAGTGTTTCGTTGTAATAAATAAATATAAAAATTTTTTTTGCTTTTTTTTAATTTCATTACATAATCAATAATTTGCTAATTTAAAATTTCAATTTTATATTAAAAACTCAAAAAGAACAAAAAGAAAGTTATATATTATATCAAACCTAAAATTAAATACTTTTTTATAATTTGAAAGAAATTATAAAAAAATTATTTTAGCTAGTTCTTAATCTCAAAAATAATATTGTTTATTAATTTTTTATTAAAAATGATATTAATTAATTCTTTGTTAAATTTAAAAAATTCAATTGTAAAATTACTTTAAAAATACACAAAAGTCAACAATTATTTTCAACAAATAAATATTATTATTCTTTAAATATAATATTTTATTATTTTTAAATAAATTAACTATTAAATATATTTATATAATCAAATATTAATATTATTTTATTTCATAATAAGTTTAAAATAAAATTTATACTTTTAAACTAATTTATAATAATTATTTAAAAAAAATACAAAACTATTATAATAATTTTTAAAAGATTTTTTTAATAAAAAAAACATAAAAAATTATCTAATCAAGATTTAGAAAAATAATAAAAACTCAAAAACAAATATAATTTGATTATAAGAAAAATAAGTAAATAAAAAATTATACTTTATATATATTTTAACTTTATAAATTTTAAAATCAGAGTAACAACAATAAAATCAGTTTCCTCAAACGCAGGTACAGAAAACTAATATAGATTCAGTTCAATCCTAGGAGGTACTTGCCTTTACATAAAAATAATGGACATGATTACTTATTTTCATAAAATAATATAGTAACAATTGGTCTTTACCCATATCTGAAATAATGATTATATGTACAACATAAAAAGTCACAAATCTTAAATGAAAATTTGCATGTAGTCGTTAAAGTGAATTCTAAAAATTCTATAAGTATATATGAAGTGAATTTATACTCCTGTAATAATTTTTATCATAAGGCTTATAGAGCTTCTGATTATACAAAGTTTTATGGAATATTTAAAATGAAAAATACTAATGAAATTTAAAAACTTTAATAGGAGAAAATTTATGCGACAGATACCATGATTTTACCCTAAATGAAGACAAATCTATGGTAAATTGGGATGTATCTTAAATTACAAAGTGCAAAACTGCAAAAAAAACTTGAAGGAGGATTATATAATATTAATTTTATATCTAAATGGAGTTTTATTTAAAAGACTAAGGTGTTTCTTAAGAGACCAAATCGATACTTATAAGACTATCATAACTTAACTTTAAAATTATTCATTAAATCAAATCTAAGAATTAAAGCAAAAATTTTTTCGAATTATCTAGTAAAAATAAAGGCGAACATTAGAGAATTAGAATGTAAAAAGTTGCAATCTTCCTTGTAATTAATTATATGTAAAGTCTTTAAGCTTAGGAATGAGTAGAAATGCCCAAATATATATTTGATGAGTAGTGGATGAACACTTTTAGGGAAAAGGTGAAAAATATTGAACTAAATACAAAAAATTGTAAGAAATAATAATTAATTAGCTAAAATATAAGAAAAAATAATACATTATTATAATATAAAATAATTTTTAAGATTAATGAAAACAAAAAAAAAGTATTAATTAACATTTGTTTTATATAAAATGATTAATTTAATTTAACACTAATCCTAAATTAAGATAAAATATTAATAAAAAAATTTATATATATTAAAAAATATTTATATTTATTTATTTTAATATATATATATATATATATATTATATATATATATATTAAATAAATATATATAATTTTATATTAATTTAAAATTAAATATCTTAAATCTTATATAATTAATATATAAATAAAAATACTATTTTCATTTTTAAAATAATATTTGAAACATGTTGTTGAAGATTATTTATCTATTTATTATAAATAAATATATAAATATATTTGTATTGGGTATATATTGGTATTAGATATATTTTGATAGGGTAGTTATAGGTTATAAATATATTTGGAACAGGCTTTTGGGTTAGGGTTGGGGTTGGGGTTGGGGTTGGGGTTGGGGTTGGGGTTGGGGTTGGGGTTGGGGTTGGGGTTGGGGTT